TTCCACCTGAGATGTGTAACACTCAGTATTCTGTGACTCCCGAGCTCCAGGATACCTTTTCACCTGAGCTGTGTAACACTCAGTATTCTGTGACTCCCGAGTTCTAGAATACCTGATCCACTCCTGTTCCATCCCATCCGGACCCATCCTGAAACGCTTACATTTTGTGCTGAAACCGGGAATAGGCTCTTCTGGTGCCTGTGCTCCCCTTGGTGGACTGAGCCGCACTGGGACCCTATCTCTCATCTCCAGTTGGCCTGCAGCAGACTCGCCTTCCAACTCACCAATCGCTCGACACTCCATCCACCATCAACGATTGGGTAAGTCTCCCCTTCAGGTGGTGTTTCAGCTCCCTAAGTCAGGGGTCTTTGTAGAGGTGGAGGTACCCCAGCCAAGGCCCTTAAGGCTACAGCTGACCCTCCTAACCTGACGCCATCCTACCACCCTTGAAATTGCAATCCTGCAGTTTCCTTAGGGCCAACGGTGTCATTGAGTCCCTTCCTGATGCCCTCCCTTGGAGCTGGCTGTCATCCCACAGCTCCTCTAGGCCCTTGTGGCTTCTGCGACTCCATTCCTGACCCTTTCCTGTGGATCAGATCCCTCTTAGAGCTCGGTTTCCGTCTATGCCTTCTGGCTTCTAGAAAAGCCCTGATACCAGGCGCCGAGTCTCTTCTGGCTTAGCTGGGCTAAGCCTGACCCCCGTTGAGTTGGGTGAAGACCCTCTGAATGGCTTGGTCCTCTTTCGGTTGTCCTCCCTGAGTCCTGGGGACGCCCTTGACTACAGGCTGCAGTGACCTTTTCCTTCTCATCCATGGGAACTGTGTCATCTGTACCCTCCGGTTCCCCCTTGGGATGCCTCCTAGAAAACCTCCAGTCTCTACACCTGACACTTGAACTGAAGGGTCCTAAACTTATTTGCTTACAATCAAATTTTGTCTAAATATCCCTTCGATAATCAGTCCACATGGCCACGTAATGGCACCCTCGATCCCAATATTATTCGGGACCTTTAGAACTACAGTGAGCGATTGGAGAAGTGGAAGGAGATTTTCTATGTCCAGGCTTTCTCTCTGCTATGTTCCAAGCCTTCTCTCTATGCCTCGTGCTCTCCCACTCAACTCCTTTTGGCTAGGAAGTCTGAACAAGATGATCCCTCCGCTACTTTTGATCCAGCCAATGAGCCTTCTCACCGTCCAACAAAACCCTCAGCTCCCCCTCTCGCTCAGGCCCCTCCGACAGAACAATTTGGGGTGTCTGAGATTTGTGAGCTAGCATCACTTTGCAGGAGTTAAGACTGAAAACTTTGCGCAGGCTTGGAAAGGGGTCAGAGGGAGGGATCTTTCCAAAGTCCCTGACGAAATACGGTGCCTACATCAAATGGCCTCAAGACCCCGGGAGCGGTATTCCCCCCCCAGGCTCAGGTTAACCGCAGTGCACACGCCTGAGTGACTGAGACAGCGGCGACACCGCATGGGAGGTCACTAGTGGGAGAGCAAGCGAGCAGTCCTTTGTTAAGGAATCTCCTAGGTGTGTCCCATCATTGACGGGCGTCGCAGCGAACCAATGGGCGAGGCGGAGGGCGAGGTGGGGGCGGGACCGACGGGCCCAGAGGGCGGGGTTTCCCGCGCGGCCGCCTCTGAGCGCCTGGCTGGGGCAGCGGCGCCAGCGAGAGGACGGGGCCGGGTGAGCTGCTGCAGGCCTGGCGGGCAGTGAGCTGTGATGCGCGGCCGCCGAGAGTCCTGCCGCCGCCCAACCTTCGCCACGGTGCCGGGGATCCACAAGCTGCCGGTTGAAGAGACCCTGGAAGACAGTCGGCAGATAAGGTGCCGGAGCGGCCTTCGCTGTCTCCGGTGGGGCCTGGCGCTTGAAATCCGCGCCGGCTCTCCTTCGCCTTCCACGGGAGGTGCTGCTGTTATCGCGATGCTATGCTGTCGCGAGATCAGTCCCGGGCGCCGCGTTTTCCGTGGCGGCCTGGCGCGCCCGGAAGGAAGGGGCCTCCGAGTGCGACGCCGGCGGACGCGGCAGTGTGCACCTTGCTCCCCTGGGGTGTCGTTGTCCGCGCGGGGCTCTCACTTGAGCCGTGCCCCGGGGGGCGGCGCAAGGCGCCTGCCTGCTCTGCCAAGCCTTTGGTTGCCGGCTTGACCCGAATAAAGTCGTCAAAAATAAAAGCCCTGTTATGTGCCTTGGGGATGATGTTAGTGTGGGTTGCTCTAGCTGGAGACAGTCTGGGAAAATAAACCTTAGATTTCCTTTTCAGTAGTGAGTGAAATCTGTTGTGTTTTAAAAGGTGTTAGGGCCTGTAACTCGCTTCAACTTCATCCTTATGCCAGCTTTTTATATATAGTAAGGAATGTAGAACAATGTTGCTGGTGGATTTCTTAAATGAGGCTTGCTGAAAAATACATATTATATACATTTATACTGTGGTGCGCCCTCCCTCCAAAAAAACAGCGCTAGAGCTTACTTTCCTCGATGACACTTTTGCCTTGGATTTTGTGCCAGTTTTGATTTGCAGGTTGAAACTGGGCTCTGATTGTAGAATTGTTTTCTCATTCTGAAAGCTATCTTCATAGGCAAGTTGCTCAGACGTAATATCCCCTTTATCAGGCAGTATGAGAAAGACACCCACGTTTCAGGTTATCTCACAGCTGCTTTAAGTCTTGCTTAGTGACTTTCCAGTGTAAAGTTTTATGGTATATTTATTTCAAATGATTTGCGACAATTTTGAGGTTGTATTGGTCAGCATAATTTTATCTTTACTTTCTTAAAGACTCAATACACTGTCTGAACTTCTTTTACCCAGTGTACTTTTTATAGCCCATAAAGTCTATCAAGAGAATGGTTTGTACAGTGCCCTATCTGTGACTTTCGATACAGTGGTCATCTTGAAATTTCCATGTAATTAGTTTACACCTTGAGTCAGACTCATTCTGTAGCCCAGCCTGGCCTCAAAATGGATTCCTCCTGTCTCTAACTGGTGGTTGCAAGGTTGGACCACAAGTCTTTCAGTGGCTGTTATTGTGTTAATGTAAAAGTTGTTTTTATGTGTGTTCTGGCTGCGTGTGTGTGTGTGTGTGTGTGTGTGTGTGTGTGCCACTTGCACACTTGACCCACAATGGTCAGCAGAGAGTGTTGGGTCTCCTGGAACTGGGGTTACTGGTGTTTGTGAGCCACCGTGTGGGTGCTGGAAATTGAACCTGGTTTGTCTAGAAGAGCAGTCCGTGTGTTAACCACTGAGCCATCTCTTCAGCCCCTCTTTGTTAATTTAAAATGGTTTTGGGGGGGGACTGGAAGCGAGATCCAGGACGTTGCACTTGCTGGACCAATGCTATACCACTAAGATAAATCCTCAATTCGCTTCTCTTTTATTTTGTGTGGGTGTATGTGTTGTATGTGTTTGCACGTGTGTGTATGTGTGCTCATGAGAACAGAGGCCACAGATTGGTGCATCTTCCTTGATTGCTTATAATCCAGGGTCTTTCTCTGAACCCTGGGTTTGTTAATTCGGGTAGTCTAGCAAGCCAGCTTGCCCCAGGTATCCTGTCTCTGTCTTGTAAGTGTTGAGAGTACATGTGACCTGCACATGCCCAGTTTTACATGGGTTCTGGGGAATCTGGACTCTGGTCCTCAAGCTTGCAAGGTAAGGCTATATCTACTGAGCCATCTTCCCAGCCCTATTATGATTATATGTGACACAGCAGCTGCTCTTGTGTTTGTGGGCATGCAGAGGCTAGAGGACAAGGCCAGGCGTCCTTCCTCCTCAGCCTCTACCTAACTTGTTTTTTTGAGACAGGGTCTCCCCTAGAGACAAGGGTCTCATGGGATCATGTAGGCTAGGCTAGCTGGGCTGAAGCCCTAACTAAGGATCTGCTTGTCGACGCCTTCCCAGCACTAGGATTACACACACCTGCCACCATACCCAGCTTTTTTACCTGGGTGCTTTATAGCTAGCATGTCCTCACAGGGTTCTCAATGGTGCTGTATAGCTAAAATATCTTCACAGTAATCCGAATTTAAAAATTCAAGCCTGCATATTTGCTTAAGTGATTTCACAAACATCTTAATGTTTTCATTAGCATATACTAATAACATAACAATGGAATTTATTATGACATTTTATTTTTATTTGCCCTTTACCTCTATTGTTTTCCCTTCTTCTTCCTAGCTAGATGACATCTTACTCGTGTCTTTTACAAGTTTTTGTTTTGTTTTGAGAGAAAACTCTTGTGTTGCTAGCCTGAGAGTCCCCTCTGCCTCAGCTTTCAAAATAGTTGTAACTATAGCAGGTGAACCACGTCCAGCTCCCATCGTTGTCCTTTTAGAGTTTTTCCAAAGTTCTGCTTTTGTAAATAGGGCTGAGCTGAATGCTTTTGAATGCATTTGACAGATGTGGAGGGGTTTTTCTATCGGGGGAAGTGAATGGGAAGGGGACAGGGGAGACCCGGCTTCTGGGGACAGGAGTGGCAGAAGAGGAGAGAGAAAGTTGGGAGGTGGGCTCCTCCCTTTTAAAAGGGAATGTAGTGAATATGCACAGGTGGTGCTCTGAGTTGCTGCAGCTAAGTGCATGTCCTGTCAGAACCCCAAGAGCAGGCCAGTACAGATGCAGACAGATATCTTGGAGTTCGAGACCAGCCTGGTCTACAAGAGCTTGTTCCAGGACAGCCTCCAAAGCCACAGAGAAACCCTTCCTTGGAAAACCAAAAAGAATAAAAAGATTAGTTTTTTATTGTTGGAGCTTGAATTCAGCTCTATTTGGGCTTTTGTTTTTTCAAGACAGGGTTTCTCTGTGTAACAGCCTTAGGTGTACTGGAACTTTCTTTGTAGACCAGGCTGCCTGGGACTCAGAAATCTACCTGCCTCTGACTCTGGAGTGCTGGGATTAAAAGCATTCGACACTATTCACCTGGCCTCTGGCTCTTTTTTTTCTTTTTTTTTTTTTTTTGAGATTTGATTTACAGTAAAGCTTGCAAAGTTCAATTCTAATTTATTTAACATAAGGATGTTTAAAGTTATATACTGGAGAAAGAGAAATTTAACCCTCTACTAGTACATGTCTTATCTGTGTTTTGAAAATAAGAATCACAGTGAATTTTTTTTTTGGAGACAGGGTTTGTCATTTTGGCTTTCGAACTCATAGATCAGGCTGGCCTTGAATTCACAGGTATCCACCCTACCTCTACCTCCCAGTGCTGGGATTAAAGGCAAGTGAGTGTTGAATCCTGTTAATTATTTTGGTTTTTTGAGACAGTTTCTAAGGGCTGGAGAGATGGCTCAGCTGTTAAGAACACTAGCTGTTCTTCCAGAGGACCCAGGTTCAATTACCAGCACCCACATGGCATCTCACAACTGTCTGTAACTGCAATTTCAGGGGATTTAATACCTTCATACAGACATACATGCAGGGAAAAGCACCAATGCACATAAAATAAAAATGAAATTAAAAAAAGGAAGAGACAGGACCTCTCTGTGTAGTCTTGACTGTCTTGGAACTCATTCAGTAGACCAGGGTGGTCTAGATCTCAGAGACCCACGTGCCTCTTTCTCCTGAGTGCTGGAATGAATGGCATACACCACTATGCTTAGCTATCTTATTTAATGTTGTAAAGCAGCCCCGAGAGACAGGCAGTGGACCACTAGAGTGAAGAAGAGTCTGCCGTATCTGGCCAGTTGTAGTGCATGTGTGTAGTCTCAGCTACGAGGGTGAAGCAGGGTGAAAGCTTTGGCAAAGTACAATACTGAGACTGTGGACTTCCTATGTCACAGAGGTCTTGTGCCACATCCTACACCAATTGCCTAAGTTCTTCCTTTGAATACGGAAGTTAGTGAATAAAAATATGAAGTCTGCCCAGGTGTGGTGGCTCACATCTATAGTCTCAGTATATCAGATGCTGAAGCAGAATGACTGCCATGAGTTTGAGGCCAGCTTGACCCTCTCTTAAAATGAATAAACTATATGTGTGTGTTGGGTTGCGGTAGTGTCATCCTTTGGATTTTAAGCCTTAATTGTCCATTACGTACTTCTTTTCTTTCCTTTCTTCCTTCATTCTTTTTTAAGTATGGCCACCATGCATTGCTTCCTATTTTTAGGTTGAATAACAGGAGTTTTGATTTGCAAAAGCACGTCTTCGTTCTTCTTGCCAATGCTCCTTTTTGTTTTTCTTTTGGGGTAGGGTTTCTGTGTGGGACTGGTGTCTTAGAACTCTCTCTGAGGACCAGGCTGGCCTTGAACTCAGAGATAGGTTCCTCCTCTGTCTTCCAAGTGCTGGAAATAAATGTGTGCACTACCATGCCCAGCTTTTATGCTGGTACTTTAATGACATGGAACAGAATTTAAAAAATCCTTTGACATCTGTATTATTATCGAAAGAGTATAGAGAGATTAAGAGCCAGAATTAGTAGAGTTCTAGTATTTTACTGCTTTGAGAAAAAGTGTTTCACTGTCTGATTTATATAAACTTATGATTTCTTTCACAGACAAGGTCTCTCCTGGTTTTATTTGAAGATGCTACCGCCATTTGCAATTACACGAACCAATTGTATCAAGCTATGCATCAGATTGATGATGCACAGGTAAAGAATTAAAAGGTCAACAATACTGCCTAAAAGAGAGTCTCTCAGCACATGAGGACAGACGTAGTGTCCATTGACTTACTGCTACATACCTCATTCGCTCTTAGGCCCGGAGTAATATCTGCTGAAATGATGAATGAATACTGTGGTGGTTTGGATAGGAATGGTGCCTCCATTCCTGGCCTACTGTGGCATGCACTTCTGCTGCCTGTAGATAAAGATGTAGATCTCTCAGCTCCTTCTCCAGCAGCTGTCTGCTTGCATTCTGCCATGTTTCCCAAATTGATGGTGATGGACTGAACTCTGAAACTGTAAACCAGCCCCAGTTAAGTATTTTCCTTTATAAGAGTTGCTGTGGTCATGACTTCTCTTCACAGCAATAGAAACCCTGAGACACACACCAAGTATATTATATTGCAGAACTTATATTTCAGTCAGACTTGTAGTACTAAACAAGTGACAGTGTTGTAGGGTCCGTCACATTTCCTGGTAGTGCGAACTTTCTTACTGGAGTTCAATGGTAGTGGATTGACTGAAGACCCCATAGTGTCATATTTTCCTTAATCATGCTTTTAACTTTAAGGAGTCCCCTCTGTTTTTTGGTAGTAAAGGCTTTGAAAGTCGCCATAGTAGAACTCTATGACTAATTTTTCTTTTAGAAGAAACATAAAACTTGAGGAGGCTGTGTTTGTATAATTTATAAGCTTTAACAGCAGTTTGCATTCTTTTGATGTACTTTATTTGGGATTAGTTAAGTATATTAATTTTTTCCTTGTCTCTATCTACTGCTATGATAGTTGTGTCTCCCCCAGCTCATGATAGGTTTTACATGGCTTCCTTTTTGACCACAGATGTTCAGTTAATAAGTAAAGTATTATATCACAGCTGAAAACACCTGAATTAACCAAAATGCCGTTCACCTGACTTTGCTGCCTTGTTGTGTCCCATGTTAAGCATATTGTTACATTATTGAACGCTTATATTCTTTAGATTGGAGAATAATCAGGCATTCTCATAACTACAAATGTTGCTGACATTATGTACAGTTAACTTCTGGTTTTAAATAAATTTAATATTTAGTTTTAATTATCAAAACCCTCAAAACAATAACAAAAAAACTAGGTAAAAAGCATATACCTGAAGGTGGATTTGGTAGTGCATGTTCTGTAATCTCAGCACTTGAGAGGCAGAGGCAAGAGGATCAGAAGTTCAAGGTCATCCATAGCTACAAAGCAAGTTTGAGGCTAGCCTGAGCTACATGAGTCTATGTCTTTAAAAAGGAAAAAAAGAGAAAAGTACATGCCTGTAACAATGCTGAATTTTTTGACAGTGCCTCTCTTCTGGTTTGCATTTGTTTTGAAACACTTTTAATGATAGTTCCTTTCTCGTTGCTGAGAAGTTAAAAATATGTATATGGTATAAAGTGATAATAAGTAAAGGGGGCTTAGATGTCATCAGTTGGCGTTTTTTCTTAACTGTTATCTTGTACTAATTTGAATCCGGATCTTTTTCCTTAGAATGAATTAAGTGCAGCAACATATCTGACTTCGAAACTTTTAAAAGAATAGGACAAACAGGTACATATGTCAAGGTTTTAAAGCATGATTTAATGCACATAGTGTCTGTACAGAAAACGTTTCCATTCAGAATCTTTTGTTTTTGTGTTTTAGAGCAAGGGTTTCACCATATAGTTCATGCTGTTCTAAACTCATGGTCTTCCTGCTTTGGCCTTCTGAGTGCTGGGATTCCAGGCATTCACCACCATGCATGGCTTCTTAGGACTTACTGAGTTTACCAAATATGCTATTGAAATTTCACTAAGTCCTTATTGTTACTGACTTAATGTTAGAACTAAGGATGTCTGCTTTTCCAGCTTTCTCCTTTTTACTAACAAAAAACTGACTTTGGTCAAGGTTATATTGTTAGTTGTTGGAGGAGCCTAAGCTAAAGCCAAATCTTTGAAATCCTATTATTGAGTACATTCCAGTATATATCCTGTTGGTTGATTACGTAACAAACATTTTAAAACTGTTTATTAATTAGGAAGATTATTACAAACATTTTGGAATATGTTCAAAGTTTTTCAAGTTTCTAAAATTACTTGAAAGCACAAATTGTGTTATTCATAAAAAAATACAACATTGAGCCGGGTGGTGGTGGTGCATGCCTTTAATATCAGCACTTGGAAGGCAGAGGCAGGCAGATCTCTGTGAGTTCGAGGTCAGCCTGGTCTACAAAGCTACACAGAGAAACCCTGTCTTGAAAAGTCAAAAAAAATGCAGCATTGACCATTTATCTCATCTTTATTTCTTAGTTTTTAGCGTTTTCCTTTGGGAGGTGATGATGAAGTTATGAGGTCTACTTTACAGCAGTTTTCAAAGGTGGTAGGTAAGGTAAGTTTTGATCTTGTTTGAACAGGTGGTTTTATAACTAAGTTACTCGTTGTTGAGCTTTTACTGAAAACTATAAAATTGTATTACATTTTATTTATTTTGTGTGTGTCTGTGAGTGTGAGAGTGTGAGGGTGCCACAGTTTGTGTGTGGAGGTTATATGACAACTTGCAGGAATAGTTTCTCTCTTACCATCTCCGTCCTCAGGGTTAATGTCAGTCACCAGGCTTGTTAGTAGGTGATAATACCCACTGAGCCATTTCTCCTGCCTTTATTGGGGGAATCCAATATAGTTATGATTCTATAAGCAGTTTTGTTACGAAGGGTAGCATCAAAAGGCATAATTTCGCCAGGTGGTGTTGGCGCACGCCTTTAATCTCAGCACTCGGGAGGCAGAGGCAGAGGCAGGGGCAGGCAGGTCTTTGTGAGTTCGAAACCAGCCTGGTCTACAAGAGCGATTTCCAGGACAGACTCCAAAGCCACACAGAAACCCTGTCTCGAAAAACAAAACAAAACAAAACCAAAAGAGGGGCATAATTTCTACATCTTGATGACTTTTATAAAATCAGTATTTTCTTTTTCTTTTTTCTGTTTTGGTTTTACGAGACAGGGTTTCTCTGTATTGTTTTGGAGGCTGTTGGTCCAGCCCGGCCTCGAACTCACAGAGATCCGCCTGCCTCTGCCTCCCGAGTGCTGGGATTAAAGGTGTGTGCCACCGCCTCTTGGCTCTACAGTCAGTATATTCTTATCTGATTAAAACATTATTTTCCCAAAAATAAGCTTATACGTGGGCTTCATCTATTTCTAACCTGTGAATAATTTTTTCACTGTTATTTGATGTGGACAGAGAAGAGTGAAGCTGTCTGGTGTAGGTAAGCACTGTGTGGTTTTTCTTGTGCCATTAGCAATACTTTACTGTTTAGTTCTCATTAGTCCATGCAAAGTATCCAAAGTAGTTTTTAATTTCTCAATCCACAATCATACCATCACAAGACAATAACAACACGAAGGTCTAGCAGTTAGAAGAAGTACTGAGATGTGTATGGAGAACATAACTGTTCTCTACTCTTACTGTAAAAGCTGTGAGTGTGTGTGTGATTATTTTCATATACATACTTTTGCTAGGCTTGGGATCCAACCCAGGGCACATTTAATGTGCTAGGTAAGTCTCGACCACTGAGCTATAACCTAGCTCCAGTTTTTCTAATATCTTAATAACTCATTATAGCAGAATGTTATTTGAGTTATCAGTATAAATAATAATAGTACTGGGGTAGGGATGTAGCTTAGTGGTACAATACTCGAGTAGCATGTGTGAGTACCTCGAATAGCATGTATGAATACCGGGGTCTGACTCCTGGCACTTCAAGTAAACAAAACAAAGTGCTTACAGGAAACGGACTTTTTCTGTTTAAAATTATGGTAAAATACATTAAAATTCATGATATTTAATCCATTAACTGCATTGTGCAAACCATAATAGTTATCTATAACAAGAACATTTTCATTGCTGGGTGATGGTGGTGCATGCCTTTAATCCCAGTATTTGGGAGGTGGTCTATAGAGTGAGTTTCAGAACAGTTAGGGCTTGAAATAATAAAAAAAAACCAAAACAACAACAACATAAAAACTCATTTCAAGAGTGAGTTTCAGAACAGTTAGGGCTTGAAATAATAAAAAAAACCAAAACAACAACAACATAAAAACTTATTTCATTATCCTAAAACTATTTTTCCCCCTTTAATATATCACTTTCCCTCAAATTTCCCAAGGCTTTGGCAATGATTACACTTTGCTCTCCCTGTCTACATGTATATCTTGTAAATTAACCTGTGTAATTGGTAGACTGTGAGGTGTGTCTTTTTTCACTTTGAATATAAGTTTATCTGTGCCAGTATTTCATTCCTTATTTTTTTTGGTTGAGTAATTTTCATTGTATATTTATTAACACATTTTATCCATTAGTGGGTATTCTATTTAGTTATGACCATTCATATACTAGCTTGATCTTTTTTATTATTATTTTTTTGTACACAGCGTTTCTGTGTGACTTTGTCTATCCTGGAACTTGAGATATAGACCAGGCTGGCCTTGAACTCACAAAGATCCACCTGCTTCTGTCTCCCAAGTGCTGGGATTAAGGGTGTACGCCACCACTGTCCAGCCATTTTTTTTGTTTATTGGTATTTTGCCTACATGTCTATCTGTATGAGGGTGTCACGTACCCTGGAAATGGAGTTACAGACAGCTGCCATGTGGATGCTGGAACTTGTACCCGGATCTTCTGGAAGAGCAGCCAGTGTTCTCAACTAGTGAGCCCTCTCTTCAGCACCCTAGTTTCATCTTAAATACCAGCTTTCAGTTCTTCTTTCAGTATGTTCTCAGGAGTGCAATTGCTTGATGTTATGGTAATTTTATAGTTAGCTTTTTGGGGGATCAGCAGATTGTTTTGTGTGTGCCTATATGCAGTGTATGAAAGTTCCAATTTTCTTTATCCTTGCCAACAAGAATTTTCATTTAAATAATAACCATTTGAGCCAGATGGTGGTATCACATGGGTTTTTTAATTCCAGCATTTGGAAGGCAGATGTAGGCAGATCTTTATGAGTTCCAGGTCAACCTAGTCTATAGTGTGAGCTCCAGGACAGCCTGGGTTACACTGAGAAACTCTTGTTTCAAAGAGTCAAAAAGAAAACAAAAAACAAAAAAGATGACCATTTAATGGGAGTGAAGTTGTATCTAATTGCCCTTTTGACTTGCAGGTTTTGGATAGTTGCTATGATGCACAGCATTTTTTTCCATATGATTATGAACCATTTGTAGTCTTAGGCAAAGTGTCTGTTCAGATCCTTTGCCCATTTTTAAATGGGTTATTTGGTTTTTATTATTGAATTGTAACAGTTCATTACCTAGATTCAGATTTCTTCTGAGACCTGGTTGACAAATGTTTTGTCATTCTGCTTGTCATCTTTACTTTCTTGATAGTATCTTCTGATGCACAGCTTTTATTTTAATAGAGTCCATTTTAATATATTTTGTTGCTTGTGCTTTTGATATCATATCTAAGAGAGTATTGTCCTAAATTTTCTTATAAAGTTTTAGGCTGGGCATAGTAGTATATACCCTTAATCCCAGCACTTGGAAAGCAGAGGAAGGTGGATCTCTGAGTTCCAGGCTAGCCTGATCTACATAGTGAGTTCTAGGACCACTAGTGCTATGTAGAGAGACCCTGTATCACAAAAGAAAACAAATAGAAAAACAGGAAATCCCCCTCCCCTTTTTGGGTTTTCAAGATAGGATTTGTCTATGTAGCCCTGGCTGTCCTAAAACTCACTTTGTAGACCAGGCTGGCTTGCAGGTCAGAGATCTGACTGCCTCTGCTTCCCAAGTGCTGGGATTAAAGGCAGACACCACACCACCTGGCAGGAGTTTCTTTTGTATCATGAAATATTTTGTATTATACTACATAATTTTTGTTTTTCATTTGTAAAAAATAATCTTTTAAGAAAGACTAGATTCAAGTTTATATAACATTGGTAAATGTCTATGTATAGACATTCATTAGTTGTGTCATCTGTTAGTTATTTGGTCTCTGTTTTCTTTTACTAGCTTAGTTCTTGTCATGCGGTACTTTCAACTCAACTTGCTGATGCTGTGATGTTCCCCATTTTCCAGTGTAAAGAAAGAGATCTGAAAGGTATTGAAGTCAATCTTGTCTATTTTCATCAGTTGTCAGAAGATCAGCGCATTTAATTTCTTATGTAAACCAGCTCTGACCACAACATGCCCCTTTCACTTTAAGCAGTTACTAAACATTTATGAAAGTGCTTGATATTAACTAGTTCCTAACAAATAATAACGTCCTTTCCTCAAAAAGGAGATGGGTTAGCAGTAGACAGTGTCTCACGTGAGCGTTTTATGATCTGGTTCTTTTTAATAATTTATAAACTCAAAGTAGGTAAAAAACAAGTTTATCAGTGAATGATAAATTGTTTAAAGACAAGTATCTTTTAGAGATGGAGTTAATAACTGAAATGATCTTTTAGAATGTTCCATGTAGACACAAGAATTCATAATCTAAGACTGCATGGCATAATCTTTTCCTTTTCATTCAGCATTTGAAATTATTAATCACATATTGAAAAACCAAGAAATTTATATGTTAGAATCTAGTTTGTCAGTATTTGTATTTCTTAACATTTAAGGTGGATTTTAATACTTGTTTGTTCTCGTATTTGTGGTAAGTAGATCTTCTGGTGGCTAATGATTTTGAATACTTTGTAGACTAATTGAAACTAACTTTTTCATCTTGCCTATAAATTCCTGTTTGAGTTTTAGTTATGTCTTAAGTGGTACTAATTGCTGTATAGATATAATAAAATATTTCATAAATATGCTAAACTGAAATTATTTTTGAACTTTTTCAGAAATACTGACACTAAGAGTTATTTTAGACTGCAAGTAAAGGTAAGCCCTGAATATGTTATACACTAATTTCTTTCATCTTTTCATCGGTGTGCATCATGGCTGATTCTTGGTAATATTTTTTTAAAAAATAGCTCAATTAAATGGTTATGATAACATTAAATCAGTGGAGATATTTTGAATATAGTTTTTACAAAATGTTTGAATGGCAGTTACTTCAGTCTTACAGTTTCCTATCCTCATTAATGCCTAAAGGGGTTGTAAAATATTCTTTTATTCACTTAGTAAACATTACCGTGTTCTTTCTTCCTCTCTCCTGTCGTCTCATATTCCCTTCTCTTCCTGTGCTGGTCTTGAACCAGGGCCTTGTGCATGCTAGGCAAGCACTCTCCCACTAAGATACATCCTCAGCTCTCCTATTTTTTAAAAGAGTTTTACAATTAAGAATAATTTTTCCTCTTTTTATTCATTCTTCTCTTATGCAGTACCTCCCAACCACAGTCCCCTCTCCCCATCCCTCCCAGTCATTTGCCTACCCCAGATCTATTGCTTCTGTTTCCCTCCAGAAAAGAGCACGCACTAACTTCTTTGGATGTTAGTGTTTTCTATCAGTCTGATACATAGTAGTGTAATTTAAGGGAAGCTAGGCTGTGGAGAACATTTGAACATAGTGATTATGTGGTGGGGAATGCTTACCTAGCTCTAGTACAGTGTAGTTTTGTGTAGTATGGTTGTACTGTTCACATTTATTTCTGTTTTCCAGATCATGATGCTGCAATTAACAGAGGCAGCCAATTGTCAAAAAACAGAGAAAAGGACAAGGTGTGTGTACACACTTTTCAAAACATTTTTAATGCTTGCCTCTGCCTCCCGAGTGGTGGGATTAAAGGCGTGCGCCACCACTGCCTGGCTCATAGTTTTTATGTGTATAGGTGCTTTGTCTGCAGGTATGTCTGTTTACCATATGTGTATACGTGCTTTCTCTGCAGGTATGTCTGTTTACCATGTGCGTTAAGTGCCTGGGGAGGCCGGAAGAAGGGGCCAGAGTCCCTGCAACTGGAGTTTCAAATGATTGTGAGCCACCATGTGGGTGCTAGGAGTTGAGCCTACTCCTTTGGAAGAGTTCTGAGCGCTCTTCACTGCTGTGCCTTTATCTCTCCAATCCTGTATACCTTTTCAATATCAGAGTTAATGGCCATGCCATTAGTTGATTTAGTTTTTCCTGTTTCAAAATAGAGCCAACAGATCATTGCTGTGGTATTACTCTCAAATTTTTTTCCTAGCTGTTCAAAACCTTTCCGATTCTTTAAACAAAATGTTTCTCTTCTGCCAGTTTTTGATATTACAAGTAAATATAACTGTTTTAAAGGTATAGCTGATTCCAAGTATATAAAACTTGTTTTGTTTTGTTTTATATTTTGATAATACTGCATGTTCTGTTTTCATTTTACAAGGTGTGAATTCAGAAACCCTTTATGAGATACAGTATATGCACACAGTAACAATTAATAAAAAAAAGAGGGTATGAATTTGAAAGAACAAGGAGAGGTATATCGGAAGGTTTAGGGGGAGGAAAGGGAATGGAGAAATGTAATTACATTATAATTTCAAAAAGAAAATGAAAAGACACCACAAAAGAAAAAAATTCAGTTTTGTATTCAGGTTATATGAAAGTATGTACATAAGTATATAAGTAGACTTTTGTGGTAGTTTGGATGTGGAAAAGGTAACCCTGAATTGAGTAACAAACACTGTCTGGAAACTCATTTTTAAAATCATATGATTAAAACCAAAAAAGAAAAAGTAAATCACACACGTTGCCTCAGTGAATTGTTACATACAAAACTCAATGGAATTGTGGTATGAGAATTTCTTTACTTAAAGGGAATATTTAGGTTTTGATATTTGTTTAAGGAATGAAACCCAGAAGTATTGCACAATATTTTAGGACAAATGTACTCAAGCAAAGATTAAAGACAGAAGTATTACACAATATTTTAGGACAAATGTACTTAAGCAAAGATTAAAGAGAATATCAACAAGTTCTAGGTGATTTCAAGACTTGTGATAGAGCTTGTACCAATGCTCGTACATGGGGGATCTCTGCAGGCAGACACAGTGATTGCTTATGGGAATTATCCACTGAGTAGCATTTACTGTGCAGCAGTCACTGTGACAACAAAGGGAATGATCCTCACACAGTGATCATTCCCCAAAACTGCTTTCTGTTTCTAATTTTAGTTGACAAATTACCCAAGAAAACACACAGTTTGTGATACATTAGTTATTTTGCCTTAGAGAGGTACTTAAGAGTCTATGTTATAAAATTTGGTATATTTTATATTGCATTTGGATATTCCAAGTATTTTTTAAAAATCATCTTTTTTCATTAGAAAAATTGTTGAGCATCTGTTTATCAAGCAGTATGTTGGATACCTTGGAACAATGTGAGTAGGCTCCACTCTTGCTCTCATAGACATTCATTGAAGGCTTTTGTGTGAATGCATTCCAGAGTACAAGGATGGAGATACTGTAGATTGGCATGAGTTAAATGCAGTAATGGGGATTTTTACTAGTTGTACAGATAGAGCTTTATTGGTGAGTTGGAAAACGTTATACTTAGGAGGTGGCATATGCAAGTGTAGATAAGTAGACAACACTTTGGGGATTGAAAAGGACTTTCTTAAAAAAAATCCCAAACCAAACAACAAAAATCCCTAAAACCAAACGAGTTTTTCTGTAGAGGCCATTTGTGGAGTTTGGAGAATGTAGGTTTAGTATACTGGTTGAGGTGGGTAAGATTTTGGGGACGTAGCTGAGGTCTGCTACTACTTGAAGTCATGTACTAGTTACTTAATCCCCTGCCTTTATTCTCTATGCAAAACAAATCCACAAAACAACAATTGTGAAAATAAAATTAGATAATGCAGTAGCACTTTTAGCAAGTCCCACTAAATTCTAAACATATGGTGATGGGAGGGAATCATTACCTTTCATCTCGTTGGATGTGCTTGGGGGGAGATGGCAGAAATAACACATTAGTTGGGGGCTGGGTGTGGTAGCTCTCACCCGCGATCCTAGCACTTTGGAGGCAAAGGCAGGAGAATCACTGAAAGTTTGAGGCTACTCTGGAGTTCAAGTCTAGCCTGGGCTACAGAATGGGACACTGTTTTAAAACATACCCACAACCCCCTCCCCAAAGCCCATCAAAAAATTTGGGGGCCAAATTGCTCTATTTGTGGCCTTGAAGTGTGTTGCAGTGAGTAGTCATCAAAGGATTTTAAGTGGGTTAGTAACATCATGCAGCTATGTAACAAGAGCAGTAAAGAGAATGTGAAAGGGATAGTACTAGATAGAATGCAGTAAGGTTGTACTAGAATACTTTGCATAGTCATAATAAAGGTTGTTATTAAAAGAGAAAAAGGAGGTTTTAGAATTGTTTCTCTTTTCTCACTGGGAATTGAAACCAGAGCCTCGTGGATGGTGGTTCATGAGGCATGCTATCCAGCCCTGCTTTGGAGGGGAAGGGGAGGAGGTGTGTGGATGGCTGAAGTCATTCTGTGTATGTGTAAATAAAGCACTGTTGGCCAATAAGGAAGCAAGATAGGTGGGACTAGGAGTCGAAGAGGATTGGATTCTGGGGAATGCAGTCAAGAGTATGTCACTATGCGATTCCCGGGAAGAGAGAACATGATAAGACCTTATAAAAATATGTATTAGTAATTATGGGTTAGTACCTAAGTCAGAGCTAGCTGATAAGAAAGCAAGCAAACGGCCAACAGCTTCATTATGAATATAGTGTCTCGTGGCTTATTTAGGGGTTAAAGCAGCAACGGGCCCTAGGGGGATCCCACAAGCTGTCATGATGCTAAGAGTTAGTTTTCCTGTCATGAGTGTATTTCTCAGCTTTATCACTAAATTTTGGAGTTTTTTCTATCTTTTCCCTAGAATGTCATCTCTAGATTTCATAGCACTGAAAATTGAGGATAGCTTTAATAATTGTGAAAGCTAGCTTTTATGTCTGAATAGTATAAATACGTAACAGTAATTATCCATAAGTCTCATTTGTAAACATTGTTTGGAAGATTAGTAAGCCATTCTTGTTTTCTATGCTCTAGTGTTTAGAGAAAGACAGCATTTCTAATCACCTTTGCTATCTTGGTAGCGATGCTGTTAATCTGAGGTGTGGAGAGAGATGAAATTGGAGCTTTTTCATTTTCATTTTTGCAGTGTTGGGGCTTGAACACAGAGCATTTTAAATACTATTCTGTAGTTAGGTGTCTAGTTGCTTTACTAGTGTTCAAATTTGATACTTTCACCAAAAGATCCAAGTTTTAAAAAGCATTTAAAATGAATTTATGTTACCTTAACCATCTTATAATTGCTTCTTTAAATAATTAAATACATGGGCGCATAGGATTGATAAGGCATTCTTTGTTGGTTGTGGCTGGTAGTAACTAGTCTGTTCTCTGTATTAGGTTTGAAGGGAAATGGAAGGTGATGTTGAGACCATGAAACCGACAATAGAAGACTTGGAAGTAGCCAGTGACCCTTTATATCTGCCTGACCCAGATCCCACCAAATTTCCCTCTAAAATTTAACCCAAAAGGCTGGATACCTGAATGCTAGGAAGTAAGAAAACTATTGTTATTTTCATATCTCATCTTGTACTATCCAATCAATGTAGTATATAATTAATATTGTTTGCCTGATTGTTTTGGTTTTACCAAAGGTTGAAACTGTTTTTATAAAAAGTATATTTTTTGTGTATACATTTTGATTTATTATAATGATTATTTTGTGTATTCTTGGGGTAGCACAGTTCAGGATTGGAGGGGAGAGGACCGCTTGCTGGAGTTGGTTCTCTCTTCCCACCATGTGGGTGCCTCAGATAGAACTTAGTTACTAGGCTTGGTGGAAGTACCGAGACTCATTATGCCATCTTGGCAGCCCAAGGTTGAAACATTTTAGTAGTGTAATTATATGAGTTTGCTGACAGATGGAAGTTCATGAATCCTTTAAAAATACTTCCTTAAGCTGGGTAGTGGTGGTATACATCTTTAATCCCAGCATTGGGAGGTAGAGGAAGGTGGATCTCTGTGAGTTCCAAGTCCAGCCTGGTCTGCAAAGTTCAGGACAGCCAGAGTTACACAGAGGGACCCTGTCTTGAAACAAACAAGCAAACAAGCAAGCAAACAAAAATCTTACCATGATATTTATTGAATAATATGAATAATTTGTATTTATAGACGTGATGAAACAATTTGAGTCTAAATAGGCCTGTCATAGTATTATGTTAATGTTAATCACATAATTAACGATGTGATTATATCAAGTCAAATTTGAGTTTTCATTTGAAATGGGCCAAACCTTTTTGGACCCCTCTTTTTTTCTCTTCAATTATCAATGCTGGCTTGGAACCCAGGCTCTTGAGCATCCCAGGCACATATGACCCCACTGAGTTAAGTCCTCAGCCATCACTCAGTACAGAATGGTGAAATAGATTAATCCTCAAAATAAATTTGAATTTATTCCATTGAATATTGAACTGTAACTTGTATTTTGATGGATCATTTTAACAGCTGCCACTTAATAATTTCTAGTCTTGTTTCTGAGACTGTATACACACAAGTGAGTCAACCTGTACAAAATCATTTTAGATGTCTTCTTGACATCTTCGTGCCTTTTTGCAAGTTGTTTTGTTTTCACAGGCTTTTTCTTGTGTCTGCTGATAGGGATATTTAAGTGTCATTATTAAAATATCAATGTATTTTCTTTAGTAAACCAGGTTTGGTGTCATCTATCTGTGACAGACAGCTTTACTTCCCGCAGGGTGGAAACTTAATGAGTCAAGCACGTGGAGATGTGGCAGGAGGCCTGGCCATGGATACAGACAACTGTTCAGTGATGGCTGTGGACTCTGAAGACAGGAGATTTGTTTTCAGATCATTTCCTTTGATGGAAAAACGTTAGTATCTTTCTGTTAGTCATTCATATGTTGGACTCTTTGTTTAACCTTATTGAGGGTGAAACTGTCAGTAATGAAGTTGGTATTTTCTAGTCAGATCACCAATAGAGATGGCAGGAGTTGAAGTACATTTTTTTCTTTTATGTTCTGACCTCTGAGAGTGGACACTCCCATTTGATTTTACACTTTGTGTTGTAGATAGCCTTTTGGAGATCAGGCTTAAATCCTGACCCTCTGATGGTCTTCTTTCCCTAAAGTATTGTCACTTTTGTTCTTTTCTTTAATTTTAAAGTTGAGGTTAAAACTTTCACTCTTTTCTCCCTAGATCTTCAAATTTGCAAGCATAGAGTAAAACAGACCGTGAAGAGGTAACTTTTTTTAATAAAGTTAACTTCTTTAACTTGTGAGGTCTATCAGGCACAGGAATCCTTGAGAGTGAGGCAGAAGATGTGGGATACTGTTTTCTCTTTTGAAAGAAGGAAGATATGCAATACACATTACTCAGAAAGAGTTTGTATTTTAATTTTTCACATAGGTATTATGGTAACTTTTCTCCCTAGATCTTCAAATTTGCAAGCAGAGAGTAAAACAGACCATGAAGAGGTATTTTTTAATAAAATTAACTTCTTTAGCAACATTAAAACTGTTTTTCCTGAGAACGAAACATATTAATGTATTCATTATAGAAAATTTGGAAAAATCCAAATTAATTTAAAATCATTTTAAAGTTCCCTGTTCTGAAGCAGCAGTCTTGTTTTCTGACAGTTTTATAGCTGGAGGAATCTTGGACACCATTTCTGTGCTGTCTTAAAGTGTTATATTTAGCAATGACCTTATGAGTGTTGCCTTCTAGCAGGCTTAGTATCATGAGTTGACAGTTTCATTTAGTCTCCGTTCTCACTAATCTTTGAGACACTACTTGCTGCAGCAAGACCATAGTGGCAGCAGATATGGTACCACAAGAGCAACTAAAGCCTAGAAGGTTAGCAAAATGAAAGACAGAAAAGCAAAGATTTGGGAGTCTCTGTTCTTCCTTACAAGCTTGTTAGTTTTGGCTCCAGTTTTACTCCTACTATACCACATGTGGAAGGTAAGGTGTCATAAAGACTGCTACCTTAAAAGATGTTTTCAGAAATAGTCTTCATGAAAATATACCCCAGATTATTTTCAAGCACTTTTATTTCATATTATAATTTTATTGGTAAAAGGTGGAGTTGGAAATTCTGTAGAGACCTGCATGTATTTCTTTCTCGTGGGAAAGAGTAGTCTTTGAAGACAGATGTTTCTGCTCTCGGCGTGGTTTACCCAGAGTATTAGATTTGTGAGGTCTACCAGGCACAGGAATCCTTGAGAGTGAGGCAGAAGATGTGGGATAGTGTTTTCTCTTTTGAAAGAAGGAAGATATGCAATACACATTACTCAGAAAGAGTTTGTATTTTAATTTTTCACATAGATATTATGGTAACTGAGTTCATATTACCATATTTGGTGGGAAATAAGGGAGGAAGTAAAAGAATAAATGTATACTATTAAGTTATAATTTAACATGATTACTATTTGTTTCCCTGTATAAATAACTATTTAAAAATAATCTGAAGATCTCATACATGCATGTGTTTGTAGCGGGATGTCTTATTTTGTTTGCGGTGCTGGGGATTGAATTCATGGGCTCACATGTTAAGTATATGTTCTACCACTGACCTATATCCCCACCCCTAGGGTATTTTCTTATGAAGAAGATTATGTGCTACTGCTAATGAAAGTTCTGTGTCAGTTTAATGTCGAATAGCTTTCCTTAGTAGAGAGGCTTTTTGAAGAAAAATTAGTAATCATATTATTTTTCCCTTTCAGTGGATTTGTACAATAAGCAACATATCTAAACAAATATACTTGAGTGAAAACCCAGAGGTACTATTTTTTGTTTTGTTATTCAGATCTATCAGAATGAAGTAATTTTGTGGTTTATATGTCTTTTGTTAATTGACTTCTTTCTCGAGTTCTGTAATCTCAGGTACAGAATCCATATGATCCTGTTTGGGTAGCTACAGTGCGCCTTGTATTGTCTGTCCCACAACAGTGTGTTATTTCAAAATGTACTGAAATCATTTAGTTAGTTGATATTGACAATTTAGCTTCACGTCGAGTGTCATGGAGTAGGTAAAAATGTAGGTGAAGCTCTGTGGCTTCCTCTGAGAGTGACTAGAGTAAGGGAAAATGGAACTGTGACATTATATGTACAGCATGTTGTGACAAGAAGCACATGGTTAAAACAATGCACTTGGTGATCATGTAGAGATTTGTATTTTGAGAATGTTAGGATTTTGTTTTCTAGAAAATTCGATAGAAATGATAGAAGCCTGAGCTGTGTTGCAGATAATACAATGAAAACTAAAGCTTAGACACAGAGATATGTAGATGGAACCAGCATACAGATCACCTGGAAATCTTACTCAAATACATGTTATGATTTGGTACATCTGTAATGATGTAGCCTGAACTGTGAGTTTGCAAATTATTCTTTTTGAGTAGCACGGATTTCTGCCCTGGTGAACCTCAGCTTGTAAACTTAGAAGTGCAGGTAGAATCCAAGAGTACCAGCAGTTGAAGGACTGGAAGGACTGGAATGAATCCATGCTGTGTGAGAGCTGGGAAAAGACTAGGTCCTTGGCAGTCTTCGTGGGCTGGCTATGCTGCTTCCCAGAGCCGGGTAGAGATTGATGATTTCAGTTGAGAGTCTAAGTCTTGAACTCTTCCCCCTACCCTGACAGGGTTTCCTGGATCTGCTGTCTGTGCCCCTCCCTATAACCCAGATCAATGACATGTGCCACCATGTCCAGTTTAAGCTCTTATTGCTTAATGGAAGGTTTGATAGGAGGGTCTCAACTAGTTAGTAGCTGACTAAAAGGTAAAGAAGAAAATGATAAAGATGACCTCCAGGTTTTAAATTCAAAGACGTCATTTAGAAAAAAGAATTCTGTTTTTGTGAAAATGAGATGCCATCTAGGATATTAATAATAATTTCACAGATAATTATATGAGAGTTCTTTTATATTTAGTGAATATTTCCTATTTCTAAATTTTTATGTTCTGAAAACATTTTGAATTAGACTAGGCAGTGTGCTAGGTGATAGTAATAAAAACCAAGATAACTGGTAGTTAAAAATGAATGGAAATAGGGTATTTACCTATTTTATATTAGTAGAAGGAAATTAGAATCATTCTTAAATTATAATTGAAAATAATGTGTCTTACTAGTAAGATCAGAGAATGGAAATACCTCAGTAGCTTTGGATTATTTTAAGCACAACTTAAGAGCCCAGTGACAATTTTGAGAACTATATCAAGCTTTTAGTTTCTTACATTATTAATACTAATACTTTTTTTAACAACAAAACCAAAACAAAATAGGAAGCTGCTGCACGAGTAAATCAGTCTGCTCTGGAAGCTGTCACTCCTTCGTCATCTTCCCAGCGGAGACACGAGAGCCTGTGTCCAGCAGGGTGAGTTAATGTATGGGTTTTTTTAATGGACAGTAAGAGCTATTTAAAGTGTTAGTGAGCAATTTGATTTATAGTACTACTTAGGTAAATTCTAGATCATCTCTGAGTAACGAGTATATTTTAAAAATAATAAATTTATTAATAAGGGTTATATGTATGCACACATGCATGTATATCTGCCTGTGCAGGCCAGAGGTTGATGTATTGGAGAGTTTTATTTTTAAGATAGGGTTTCTCATGAACCTAGGGCTCATTGATTCGGTATGCTGACTGGCCAGTGAGTTCCTCGAATCTTCCTATCTCTGCACTCCAATGCTGCTGTTGCAGATGCCGGCTGCCATGTGCAACTTCTTTTTTTTTAATATAAGTATTAACGATTAAAACCCTAGTTCTCCTTCTTAGGCAGCAGGCACTTCATCTCCTAAGTCTCAGTTTATGTTTTTTAATTGGAAAGCGAGGGCTCTTTTACTAAATAAATAGGTAGCTGTTTTGCAATTAAGTTTTTACTGTTTGAGTCAGGGTCTTGCTTTGTAGACCAGGCTGGCCCAGGGCTTGTGATTCTGTGCCTTCACTTCCAAAGTCCTGCACCACCGCCGGGCTGTTTCCGTTTCCTGTAATCTGCTAAGCATTGAACGTCTGAAAGAAAAACTAAATTTAGTACCTTTTTGTTTTCCTTCGTCATTAGACAATCTCAGCCACCAACTGCTCGAACCAGCAGTTCAGCATCCTTGGGATCAGAGTCTACAAATTTGGCTTCCCTCTCTCTTGTTGCCCCAGATACTCCAATACCGTTTGATATAATTTCTCCTGTGTGAAGATCAGCCTGGTCAGGCAAAAGCCTTGTGCCAAGGAGGCAGGTGAGCGATGATGTCACAAAGACAATGTGATTCTATTTATGATGCATTTATGCATCAGCTATGCTGTCTTTCATATACTTGCCTGACAGCATTTTCATGGTTAGGATAGACCAATACAGATTCTGTTTTTTTCCTTTTTTAGGCTTCTGCATCAATCAAAGACGTTAGGATAATCAAATGTCCAAAATGTAATACTGAGTTGCTTGAGTCTATTACTTGGGCATTTTCCCTGTCAATTATGGGAGAAGGGTCAGTTCTATCTTTAGGTTGTGACACTATTTTAAAAATTCTATGTCAGAATAAGAGGCTGGGAATGTAGCTTAGTTGGTAGAGTGCTTGCCTCTCTAGCACCACATAAAACCTGCTTATGCTTATTAGCTCATGCTTGAATCAGAAGCCCCAGTTGGTCAGGCGGCGCATGCCTTTAGTCCCAGCAGAGGTAGAGGCAGGCGGATCTCTCTGAGTCGAGGCCAGCCTGTTCTACAGAGCGAGTTCCACGACAGGCTCCAAAGCTACACAGAGAAACCCCATCTCGAAAAACACAACAACAACAAAAAGGAAGCTCAAGGTGTTTTGGCTACGTAGCAAATTCTAGTCCAGTTTGTACTATATGAGATCTTGTCTTTATGATGTTAATGATGATGAAGAATGCTCTTGAGGCCAGGAAGTGGTGGCACATATCTCCCAGCAGCCATACCAGTTAGCCATAGAGGCCAGGCAGTGGTGGTGCATGTCTTTAAATACCAGCATTAGAGAGGAATATAAGGTGGGAGGAGACAGGAGTCAGTCTGCAGTAACCCCGAGGACTGGATCGCCCCTTCCCGAGCCTTGGTAGAGGTAAGAACTCTCTAGTGGTTGGCTGCTTTGCTTTTCTGATCTTCAGCTAGCTAGCGTTATTTGTTAGAATATAAACAAAATAATCACCTCAATTACTGAATCTTGATGATGATGAAGAGGAGGGAGAGGAAGAAGAATACTTTAGTCAAAGTGCTCAATTTTTTAAGGGAGACTGGCTAGAGAAATGGCTCGTACTGTTCCTGCAATAAGTCAGGTTCAGTTCATAGCACCCACGTGGCAGGTCACAATTATCTATGACTCTGGCCTCAGATTCCTGAATGCATGTGGTACACAGTAATTTATATAGACAAACATGCATACACATAAAGAAATCAACTATGGTGAATCATTTATTAAGGCGGTTGGGCACTTTAATACATTAAGTTTGGATATGACATTGATATAGTCATGAAAATGTTTAAATATGCTAAGTATGTATAGCATTTGATATGATATGCCAGACTGATATGAAAGAGATCAGTATTGGGGTGGAGAGATGGCTCAGTGGTTAACAATAGTTGCTCTTGCAGAGGACACAGGTTTGGTTCCCAACACCCACATGGTAGCTGGTAACCATCCATAACTTCAGCTTCAGGGTATCTGAAGCCCTTTTCTCACCTCCACAGACCATTAACGAACACATAAATATACCTAAAATAAGAATAGATGAATGTTTTTTTAATTGGCCAATACCTTAATCCTCTTTTTTGTGTGTGTACGTGTGTGTATACATGTTATATATTTACAGATGCACACATAGATTTTTGTGCATGTTTGTAGAGGCCAGAGGACAATTCAGGTGTTTTTCCAGTGCTGCTACTCAGCCCTTTACATTTTCTTGGTTTCTGTAGTTACTCCAGGGTGTGTGCTCACATCTGAACACTTGGAGCTAGGAACCTCAGATGAGAGAGAGCATGTGATGTTTGTCTTTCTGCATTTGGGTCACTTTGCTCAATATGATCTCTTCTAATTCCATCCATTTACCTGCATAATTCATTTCATTTTTCTTTACAGTTGAATAGTGTCTCATAGTGTATATGTACTGCATTTTTATTATGCATTCATCAGTTGAAGGACATTTAGGTTGTTTCCATTTCATAGCTTTTGTGACTATAATAGCAGTGGACATGCCTGAACAGGTATCTGTGAAGTAGGATGCCAAGTCCTTTGGGAATATACCAAGGGAGTGGCCTAGCTGGATCATTTGATAGATTTATTACTAGCTTTTGGGGAAGTTTCCACACTGATTTCCAGGTTACTTGGACCAGTTTGCGCTCCACCAACAGTGAATGAGGTTCTTTTTCCCATAACATGTCCTCTGGCCTTTGTTGCTTATTGATCTTTGCCATTCTGACTGGGGTAAGGTGAAAACCTCAAAGTTGTTTTGATTTGCTTTCCCTATTGCAATGAATATTTTTTGAGATATCTCTTAGTCATTTTTTTTCTTCTTTTGAGAACTCTCTCTGTTCAGGTCCCAAGCCCATTTTTTGAATGGGCCATTTGGTTTCTGTTTTTGTTTTTTAACCCTTTGTTTTTTGAGTTCTTTATATATTTTGGATATTAAACCTATATAAATGTATAGTTAGCCTCCTCTTTAACAGTTCTTTTCTTTAGTTGTGTAGAAGATTTTTATTTTTATGAAGTCCTTTTCACTTGTCTTTAGCTCTTGGTCAAATGGAATCTTGTTTAGAAAGTCCTTTCCTACATCTATTATGCACAATACTGCCTGTGTTTTCTTCTAGCTGCTTCAGTGTTTGGGCCTTCACTTTTAGGTCTGTAATCTATTTGGAGTTAGTTTTGTGCAAGGTGATATAGATAGGGGTCTAATTTCATTCTTCTCCATGTGGACACCCAGTTTTCGCAGCACCATCTGTTTATTTCAGTGTATGCTTTTAGCATCTTTGTCAAATATTACATGGTTTAAATTACATGTATTCATGTCTGAGTCTTTGATTTTACTTCCCTGGTCTACGTATATGTTTGTGCGGATACCATATTGTTTCTATTACAGTGGCTCTGTAATGTATCTTAAGATCTGGAATTGTAATCCCTCTAGCAGCGTTCTTTTTGCTCAGTATTGTTTTGGCTCTCCAGAGTTTTTGTGGTTTCCTTATGGATTTTAGGGTATTTTTTTCTTCTATTCTTGTGAAGAATGAAATGGGGATTTTGATTGGGATTACATTGAATCTATAATAGCTTTTGGTAAAATGATTTTTTCACAACATTAATTCTATCAATCCATGAGCATGGGAGGTCTCTTCCATTTTCTAGGTTTTTGTTTTGTTTTGTTTATCTCTTTGTTCAGAGGTTTAGAAGTTTTTATTGTAGAGACCCTTCACTTTCTTGGTTATGTTTATTCCTAGCAATTCATTTTCTTGGAGGCATTTGTGAATAGGAGTATGCCCACGATTCCTTCCTCTGTGTGATTGCTGGTGGTGTGTAGAAAATCTATTGATTTGTACAAGTTGGGTTCTGTATTGGCTACACTGCTGAAGTTGTCATTTCTAGAAGTTCCCTAATAGATTTAAAAAAATTTTTTTGTTTTGTTGAGACAGGGTTTCTCTATATTGCTTTGGAGCCTGTCCTGGATCTCTGTAGACCAGGCTGGCCTCAAACTCACAGAGATCCGCCTGCCTCTGCCTCCCGAGTGTTGGTGTGTACCACCAACGCCCAGCTGAAATTTCTTAATGTATAATATTATGTCATGTGCAAGTAGGGATAGTCTGACATCTTTCCCTGTTTGTATCCCTTTAATTTCCTTCTCTTGTATTATTGCTCTAGCTAGTGCTTTGAGCACACTATTGAAAAGGAGTTGGAAAGTGGATACCCTGTCTTGTTCTTGACTTCAGTGGGACTGCTTCAAGTTTTTCTCCATTTAGGAGGTTGTTGACTGTGGGCTTCTTATATGTGGGCTGTGGGCTCTTATTATGTTGAGATGTGTTCCTTCTAGTCCTATTCGGACTTTTATCTTAAAGGCATGTTGGATTTTGTCAAAGGATTTCTTTCTGCATCTATTGAGATGATCATGTGATTTTTGTCTTTAAGTCCATTTATGTTTATTACATTGGTTTACTTGCATATGTTGAACCATCCCTGCATTTTAGGGATAAAGCCACTTGGTCATGGTATATAGTCTTTTTTATCCTTAGTATTTTATTGAGAAGTTTTGAATCTATATTCATCAGAGATACTGGGCTGTGATTTTCTCTTTTTATTATTGTTGTTTTTACCTGTTTGGATATTAGTGAGATACTGGCTTCCTAGATGGGGTTTGGAAGTGCTCCTCTGATGAGGCTTGGGAATGCTCCTCCTGTTCCCAATTTTTTAATAGTTGAAGAAGGACTGGCTATAGATCTTTGAAAGTCTGGTAGAATTCTGGTGCGAATCCATCTGGCTCTGGAATTACTTCTGGAAAGCATCTTATTACAATTTTGATCACTTCATTTGTTGTTTATATGTTTTGCTTGTTGAGTTCTTGTTTTAATTTTGGTGGTTTGGCTGAATCTAGAAATTATTTATTTTTAAGTTTTTCAGGTTAATGGAGAACAGGTTTTTGAGAATATTCCCTAACAATATTCTGAATTTTTTTTCATGTCATAATATTTCCCTGTTCATTTCTGATTCTGTTAATTTGGATCCTCTCCTTTTTTCTTCTGGTTAGTCGGGCCCTAGCAGGTGTCTGTCAATCTTGTTTTTTTTTTCTCAAAGAACTACTTCTTAGATTCATTGATATTTTTGTAATTTTTTATATTTCATTGATTTATTTCTTGCTGTCAACTGGGTTTGAGTTTGGTTTGTTCTTGTTTCTCCATTTTTTTTGTTTTTGTTTTACAAGATACGGTTCTCTGTGTAGCTCTGTCTGTCCCGTAACTCACTCTGTAGACCAGACTGGCCTTGAACTCAGAGAGATCGACCTGCCTCTGTTTCCTGAGTGCTGGGATTGAAGGTATGCACCACCATTGCCTGGCTGGCTGTTCTTCCAAATTTTTGAGGTATATCATTAGGTTACTGTGCTCTGTCTGATTTTTTATTTATTCTTATTTTACATACATTAGTGTTTTGCCTGTATGTATGTATGTATGTATGTTCTAGAACTGGAGTTATAGGCAGTTGTGGGATGCCATGTGAATACTGAGAATTGAACCAGGATCCTCTGGAAAAGCAGCCAGTGAGTGCTCTTAACTGCTGAGCCATCTCTCCTGTCCCTCTTTCTGATTTTTTAATGTAGGTACTTAGAGCTTTAAATTTCCCTCAAAGGATTGCTTTCAATATGGCCCAGAATTTAGTTTTGATGTGTTTTCATTTTCATTTATTTCCTGGAAATTTCTTTCTCGATTTCTTCTTTGACTCATTTATCATTCACTAAAAAATAAGGAAGTCTCCATGAGTTTGTGTACATGCTAGACATTTGTTTGTTGTTAGTAATATACAGATTTTATTGCATTGTGGTCTGGTAGAATACATAGAGTTACTTCAACCTTTCTGAATATGGCTTATGGTATTAGTTATGTTTCTCTGTATTTTTTGTTCATATGATCATAGAAAGTGGGGGGGGTTGTAATCACTATGGATTGATGTCAATCTGTCTTTAAATCCATTAGTACTTTTTAAAAAATGGAATCAAAGATTCACTAGCGTTTGAATGTATGTGTAGGATCATAATGTCATCTTGGTTAAGAGTTCCCTTGATTAAAACAAAGTGTCTTTCTTTATCTTTTGTGATCAGTTTTAGTTTGATGTCTTTCATCAGATACTAGGATAAGGGAAGCCTGCTTGCTTCCTGGTTCCAGGTGATTGGAGTGCTTGTAGTACATCTTTTACCCTAAGAGAGTGCCTATTTTTAAAGCTGTGTTTGTTGTAAACAGCAGACAGATGGATTTTGTTTCTTTAGCCTTTCAGTCTGTGTCCTTTGTTTTGAGAATTCGGGCCATTGATATTTAATGTTATTATTTAAATGTGTGTGTTGTCAGTGGTGGTGTTGACACATGCCTTTAATTTCAGCACTTGAGAGGCAGAGGCAGGTGGAATCTCTGAGTCAGTCTGGTCTACATAGTGAGTTCCAGGCCAGCCAGGTCTACACAGAGAAACCCTGTCTTGAAAAAACAAACTCAACCAATCAAATACAAAAGAAATGTGTGTGTTAATTTCAGTCATTGTGTTGTTAGTTCATGGTGTTGTGTTTTCAGTGGTATTTTGTATTTTAATAATTATGGCTTTATTTCTTTCCACATTCCTCTCTTTAGCCAGAAATATTGTTTTCTTTAGGTTGTTGGGTAGAGAATGTTTTAGGCTATTTAGATTATACAAAACCTTTCTTGCCTGGCGTTGGTGGCACATGCCTTTAATCCCAGCACTTGGGAGGCAGAGGCAGGCGGATCTCTGTGAGTTCGAAGCCAGCCTGGTCTACAGAGCAAGTTCCAGGACAACCTCCAAAACAAAACAGAGAAACCCTGTCTTGAAAAACCAAAAAAAATCCAAAAACCTTTCTTTGTCCTTCAATATGGCAATTATATTAGTTTAGGCAGATCCTCGTGGTCTTTTATGACTTGGATGAATTACTCCTAAGTTTTCTGGCCTTCAAAGGTTCTCTTGAGAAACCAACTATTAATTCTGATGGGCTTTTCCTTTGTGTTAGTTTTTTTTCCTTTTGCAGCTCTCAGTACACTTTATTATGTATACTTAGTATTTTAACTGTGATATGCTGTGGGTATTTTCTTTTCTGGTCTTGCCTGATATTCTATGTGTTTCTTGTATTTGTATGGGTATGTCTTTCCTTAGTTAGGGAAAATTTTCTTCTATGATCTTGTGGAAGTTCTGACCCTTTTTTTTTGGTTTTTACGAGACAGGGTTTCTCTGTATTGTTTTGGAGGCTGTCTATCTAGCCCGGCCTCAAACTCACAGAGATCCGCCTTCCTTTGCCTCCCGAGTGCTGGGATTAAAGGCATGTGCCACCACCACCCGGCAGTTCTGACCTTTTTACTTGGGATTCTTTTCCTTCTTCTGTGCCAAAAATTGAAGGGAACAGGGGAAGTCCTCCATGTTAGCCAGTTCAGAGAGGGCTGCCAATCCACAGACTGCAACCTCTGCCCACCAGGGCCTCCCAAAAGCTAGCCAACTAGAAAACTCAAGGGAAAGCCTTACAAGTAAATTGCATTAAGCAGAAGGTTTTGAAGATGAAGTAGATGAATTAGACCAAATATCCAAGGAATATGAAAAAAAGTCTTAAAAACACAATAAACATACAGGAAACATGGTGCCCCATATTTCCCCTGTTCCCTACCAGTGGAGGCTTCCTTCTCTCTATCTGACCTTATTTGGAGAATGTCTCTAGGCCCAGATGCCTGACTTATCTCTGGTGTGATCCTTGGCACAGTTCCCTGCAAAAATCTTTCCCCCTGCTGCCCATATGGCAATTAAACTTTGTGCTGGGAGCTTTATGATAGAAACCGTGCCGTTTTATACAAACTAGGTGATGCCCCAGCCACTGCTCCCATCCTTTATATCTCCCATCACTTTGAAGTAAGTTGAGCTGCATCCCTGAAGCAGTCTCCTGGAAGGCTATATCTGTTTCAATCACAGGTGGTACAAGGCTTTGCCTGCTGCCTCTACCCCCTTTGCCCTCATGACCCCATGGTCAACAGACCCTGGGGAAGAGGGGAACCTCATCTTTTTGGGTTTTTGAGGTTCATCCTCATTTTGGCTCAAGTCCTCTTCAATGTTTCTATCTCTTTATTGAATTCTGTTTTCATGTCCTGGATTATCTTCATTTCCACCAGCCTTATGTTTGTATTTCCTTGGGCATCACTCAGCTGTTTGGTCTCAAGGCATTTCTCCTTAATTTCATGAGCTCTTTCTCTGTCTTCTTAAACTGTTTAAATTGTTTGATGAACTTTATGACTGTTCTTTTAAGTTCTGTTTCACCTAAGTAATTATCATTGGCAAACATTTCCACAGGACTGGTAGGTTTTGGAGAGGAAATACTGGCTTGATCTTTTCATATTCATATTCTTGAAATACTATTTGGGCATATGGACTTCTTAGTTTTATGACTAGTATGGACAGAGCAAGTTGAGACACAAGAACGGAAGCCGGGCGGTGGTGGCACACGCCTTTAATCCCAGCACTCGGGAGGCAGAGGCAGGTGGATCTCTGAGTTCGAGGCCAGGCTGGACCGATAGCCTCCAAAACAATATAGAGAAACCCTGTCTCGAAAAACCAAAAAAAAAAAAAAGGATGTACAGGTGACTTAGGCCTAAAGGTGAGACATGGCTTACATGGAGGGAATTCAGGTGAACAGAGTGGACTGGGCTGGTGTACAGCATGTGTTTTCTGGTCCAAGGCTGGAGTGTAGAGGGGTGTGGTGTGAGAGCGTCTTGTAGGTTAAGGGTAGACAGAGCAGGACTTGGCGAAATCCTAAAGGTTGGTTGAGGCTCAGGCTGGGATGGCTAAACTAGGTCAGGGCTCTGGACATGGGAGCTGGGTGGTTTGGGTGGGGGAAGGTTATATGGAAGGATGTGTTCATTTTTCCAGTACCTTTTTCCTTTTATAAGACAGTTCTCAAATAAGCAGGCAGCCTTTAAACACTATGTAGCCAATGATGACCTTGAACTCTAATCTTCTTGGCTCTCCTTCCCCAGTACTAGGATTACAGGCATGTGCCAACATACCCAGCAAGTAGCTGATTTTTTGATTTATTGTGTATATGTGGTGTGTGTGTGTGTGTGTGTGTGTGTGTGTGTGTGTGTGTGTGTGTGTGTGTGTGTTAGGGAGTCACTGCTGGACTGAGACTGGTCTCCACCAATCTGACCTTTACCGACTGCCAATCTCCTGTGCCTCTCATGGGCACAACAAAGTGACCTTGTGAAGTACTAAGCACACTTCAAAGACCCCATTTCTGCCTGTAAGCAAGTAGACAGAAGCCACCTGAGGGCTGAGCAAGTGAGTGAAACTGATGCAATTTATATCATGTGCCCTGAAATCAATTGCATTCTCTCTCTCTGGCACTTATTCCTTCAGTTCAAAGATTCTTCCACACAAGATGTGTTTGAATCCCTACCTCCATCTTTTTAAAGATCAGTTTCTGTTCAATATACCTTTAGCTTCTTATTTTTTCTTTTTTATTTAACTTTTTACACATGTCACTCTCAGTTCCCTCTCCCTCCCCTCCTCCCTACTCCCCAATCCTCCCAATCCTTCACCCTCACTCCTTCCCCCCTCTGCACCCCAGGGAGGGCAAGGGCCTCCATGAGGGATTTTCATCTGTTACATCATCCCAGGAAGGGCCCAGGTTCTTCCCCATGTGTTCAGACTGAGAGAGCATCCCTCCACGTGGTATGGGTTCCCAGAGTCCTTATGTATGCAAGGAATAAATACTGCTCCACTCTCCCAGGTCCCACAGATTGCCAAGGCCTCCTCTCTGTCACTAAGGTTCGGTGGGAGGGTGTCTGGATCAGTCCCATGCTGGCCCCTCAGTCATCAGTCTGGGGTCCATGTGTTCCCCCTTGTTTAGGTCAGCTGCCTCTGTGGGTTTCGCCAGCCTGATCTTGATTCCTTTTGTCATAACTCTTCTTTGCAACTGGGTTCCAGGAGTTCAATTCGGTTCACAGCTGTGGGTGTCTGCCTCTGCCTCCATCAGCCACTGGATGAGAGTTCTAGGATGGCATGTAAGGTAGTCATCATTCTCATTATCATAGGAGGGCATTTAAGGTAGCCTTAATGTCAGTTGGTGTCATTCTTGTAGATCTGTGAAGATCTCACTAGTGCCAGATCTCTCCTCCTTATACTGGCTCCCTCTTTTATGGTATCTCCCATCCTTTTCTCCTCTATTCTTACCCTGGCTCAACCTTCCTGCTCTCCCATGTCCTTCTCTCCCTTCCTCTTTCTCCCATCTCCTTCTGCCCTCCACTTCTCCTCCCCCAATCCAATTAGGAGATCTCATCCCATAACCCTTTTCTGGGTTACCATGCATATCTCTCTTAGGGTCCTCCCTGCACCCCAGACTCTCTGGTGGTGGAATTGTGGGCTGGCATTGCCATGCTCCATTTTTCAAAATCCATACATGAGTGAGTACATAGCATGTTTGTCTTGTTGTGAC